TTGAACGAGTGATAACAGCGCGCAAAAACATCAACAATGCGCCGATAGCATACAAGCGCGATTTTGGACCGTAACTATACCACCAGTATTGATATAAGGTTCAAATTAAGCTATTATGTAGAGCATGACCCCTTCTCCCATATTCTAAACCCATTATTGATGGATTATAGATTAGTGACTCTTGTTCTCGCCAAATAAGGAAGATTATAGCACACGCAAATCGCAAATATTCTCGAAAAGGCGAGTCAGGACTGCGCTTGCTTAAAGGCAGTGGATCGGCAAAACTTAACAACGCAGGATTTCAACGCAGTAGGTTCCTTATCGCTCAAGTATGAAAACAGTGCAATCCCGGCTGCACAGCATGCCTTACCTACCAAAAAAAACTGCTCTCAAACTTACACGCGCAAGCCAATCTTGCACGCGCCCGGACGAGTTGGCAACTTCCTTCCCACCATTGGAGGCTGCCCGCCGCAATGCTACAAACATTGGGTCCTGCAACGATTCAGCGTCATCAGCCTTGCTTCACTCGTCCAACTTCAAAGGGAAGGGCATTCAAAAACGCATGTTTTCGCCGTTTTCAAGCTCTCTAAAGTGGATTTTCGGGATCAGCGTATTGAGTAACCCCAGGTAAGCAAAAATTTGACTAGGTTGCGATTTGCCGAGCCACTGCCTTCAATGAATTGGACTCAAACTGTGATTCGAGATTCCAGATTCCAACGAAAAGTAACAGGAATAATGGAAAAAGCTCGGACTTCGTCTACATCACAATTTTGAGGCGATAAATTATTATACTTAGTCTCTGTACCACGTTTTCTGATCGCACTCCGTTGCGCCGCAGCCACTTTCTCGTTAGAAAAATTCGCAGCTTTTCTCCTAATGCAAGTGCTGACTGGATACTCCTTAAGCAGTAGAGGATTTCTCAAGTTCGCGTGACAAACCAATAAATTTCTCAAAAATCCTCACACTTCTCCACATTTGTAAAAGGGAGTTGCAAGATTTGATATGAGATGCGCTGAAAAAGGTATCCGCCGCCGTGTAAGATTGTAGAAGTCTGAACCCAGTTTTTGTAAAATGATAGAATATATTCCCATTTTGGAAATTATGTCAAATTTACAAGAAAAACCTGTGAATTGTGCCGATTTTTCAAACTTTATTTTGAGGGACAGTACTTTTTCCGCCCCCTGTAGCTAAAGGTTTAGCTCCATATAAGTTTACCAACGCTCTTTGAAAACGTCAGGATAAGAATTTTTGAAATGCAGGAAAGATTTGGCGTTACTGCTGAGCTGCTCAAAAAAACCATGGGGAGAACATTGCAAATAGTAGATCAGAGAGCAATTTAGCTGTAAGAAAGAGGATAAAAATCTAAAAAATGGCACCTAGGTCGTCCATGGATTGATGTTCTGTGAGTTTGAGCGATGATTGAAACTTTCGGGACAACCTAGTATTATGAGTTGAACGAGAAACGAAACCTTAGCAATAGAGACCTGCCTCTCGCCTTATCGTACGCATAAGTGATGTGGACTAGTGGGTACTGAAATGTAGATGAATCAAAAATGAGCTGCAAGTGGAGCGAACAGAAATTGTTTTTATTTGTTGCGACCGAAACTGCAACAATTTTCTCCTTGTCACACTAATAGAAACCAGGGGAATTTCAAGCTTTAATGAACCAGTTTCTGAGCATTTCATTACTCATGACAAGTTCACGCAACTGTGCACACAAGAAATCCATCACATGAAAGGACCTGTGATTTTGTATGAACAGCCGTCAGCAGACAGACAACAATTTTCCTAACTGTTGTCCTAACTTGTTCTGGAGGTACAGGCAAAGGTCGTGCACTTTTGAGTGAATCATTTGAATATTAGCGACAGAAATGACAATATGAAGATAGTTTGCTTCGACTGTTTTTTTATTTTATAGACTTCATTCTCATCATGTGCTTAAGTCGGCAATTGTTTCTTCATATCCATTATCTGGCAGTAGCATCCATTGTGCTCTACGCACATAGCGACAGTATACTCTCAAATTTCATGATTTGATTTCACACCAATTTTTCAATTGCATTGTTTCTCTTTCTATACCTTGTGGGATACATTTGAAGACGAGCAGCCCTTGCTCCTCAGCTTTGAAGTCTAAATGTCTTTGCGCAATGTAAACTTCACTTTCTTCGCGTTCCTTATTTTCGCTCTGTTGGCAAAGAACACTTGTGCATTCTACACTGCAGGAAAAATAACGCATATTAGAACAGTAGCTTTGCTGGTAGATGCTATTCGAACTTTAGATATATATTAAAAGTATTGCATAAGCATAAGCATATATTAAAAGTATGCCATATATACAGTGAATCCGTCTTTGTGACTTTGGGGAATACTTTGCGAAAGCAGGGCAACTACGAGCCATTTACATTATCAGAAGGATAGACGACAGGTGGCCACTAAGAACATCAGTGTGGATTTCTCAAGCAAAACGTTTTCGCGGAAGACCACTACAGAAATAGGTTGTTCGTGGAACGGAGAGCAGCTGAAAGTCAGTGAAATTCAAGGCCTGGAAATGGATGCATCCTCCGACGTTAAGCAAGAAGACCCCGGAGCTACCTACTGGAACATGTGGAAACTCCTGTGCTGGGACCTGCACGCCAGGTGAGGACGGGCTATATAAGTACTTAAGCTAAGTAAGCAGACAACAAACGAATAAGAGCGGATACCTCGTTCTCTTCACCCCCTTCTCCAATTGAAACAGAGAGTACACCACTGTAATTTACCTGCTTCCGACTCACTTGTCACTGACAAGAACTGTCAAGCCTACACAGACTTGTGATCACGTTCGCTTCGCATAGTCTCGCACGGGCTACTACGAAGAAGGAAGAAATTTTCGTGCAGCACTGGAGCAGAATATGGCATACAAATCTCAAAAAAATCATTTATTTTCGTGTTGACTCAACAAAAGCTGTTGGTTATAAAAGCGACCGGATAAGTAAGGACTTTCAACTTTGCTTCAAAAATTTCTATCAAAAATAGGGGACTGGGACTGACTAAATTAAGCGCATCTATTTCTAGCTTGCTTTGTGTGACTATATGAATAATTTACGCGGCACAAACTTTGACTATATGAATAATTTACGCGGCACAAACTTTGTTGCTTTCTAGTGCCTGTTAAGAATTCAATTTCTTCCACTTTCCATTGATATTCACCGCCACTTGCATGTATGGACTAGTAAACCAATAGAAAGGCCGTGCACTATGACTGAAGTTTTTGTAAGTACACTGCGTTTCATAACTATAAGACACCTCCCAACGGGATTTCCGGATTTACAAAAGAGATGAGTACTCCAGTCAGTGTCTGTGTGATCTGCATATGATATTGAGTGAAATGACATCTCGATCAATATGTCTATTCACTTGCTTTTTTACATATAGAGACATGTCTATTCTTCCACTGTTTCATTACTATACAACACCTTTGAGCAAGGTACTTTTCTCAAGGAAAGGAAAACGTAAGACGGGATTTTTATAACTTATCGGGTTACGGGCCTTCCTACCACTTCCTCAAGTCTGCTGGAAATGTTTCTAACAAATTCATGCATTTCTTCGGTTCAAGTTGTCACATGCTCCCATAACGAAATGCTCCAGCTTTTAATGCCTCGTATTGTTTGTATCTGCTCAGAAACGCTGTGCCAGTAATCTCCAGAGATTTTCTAAAGAATTTAAAAAGACACCATGGTCACCTTTACAAAGGCTGCTCGCGCTGCTAGCAGAGAACGGCAGCAACTGATCCGCGTGCATGTTCAACGCATTGTGCTGCTGCGAAACTTGCTGTTACAGGCGCGTTGTTAAGAAGATGACAGTAAGAATGAGCCAATGATTGACGGTGTAATTAATCAAAAAACTTAGTTTGAACGACTCCAACGGCTAGAGGACCGACTGGCCGAATATAAGCAAAGTCCACATTATTTTAGCAAAAGAAGCTTTAGCGGAGGTTACTCTATAATTTGGGAGCATTTCACATGCTTCAAAAAACCTGAATTTCGATAAAGAAATTTGCGCGCAGTTTGTCAAAAGATACTATTAGGGTGATCCAAAAGTAATGGGGCAGCTAGAGAACAAATGCAGTTTTCTCCAGTAGAAAAGCTAATTGGAAGTCCAAGTTTTGGCAGATGTTAGTACATAACAAAACCTTCTGATCGAGTCTGTGGTTGGGCACTGTCACATGGCGTTAATTCTATAAGCGCTTAAAATTAAAGCTCATCACTTCAAGTTTTTGAACTTTGAGCAGCATCGCCGCAGTAAAACAAGTGAGCCTACCAAAGATATGTGCGGCAATGGGTGAGGGGACTGTCACCAAATTCACATTAGCTCGGTGGTCCCAAGGCTTTAGAACAGAAGATATAGCATTGGGTATTAGGAGACATATTACTTATTCTTTCATCAAGGTAATCAAATAAGCTCAAACTTAGCAGTTACTTTCTGATAGTGCTTTTTACGCTCTATCCATACATATGCAAATTACTTCGACTTTTCTTATTTTCAAAAGATTGTGGTCCAAAACATGAATTTTAGTCTGAAAATCTGCGGCAAACACCGCACTTTTTCGAATAAAGTGCCTTTTTTGTATAAAATAATTGGCAATTTTTGGATATTCGGTAATCATTAGAAAGAGCTTGGGAAGCTCTCTCGAGTGGTATGCTATATGTCGAGGGACTATCAGGTGCAGCAGCCCAAATTCGGATGGCGTTCAAAAAAGTCTGTCTGGCTTCTTCAAAGCGCCACTCGAAGAAATGTCGGTGAAATGCTGCAAGGTGCTGTCAAGATAACCTGCGAAGGTCACTTTATACAAAGGCGTTAAAAATGGTGGGCGTTCGTAGCTAATCAGAAAGAAATTTTGAAGAATGTTAAAAAAATCACGGTGCCCCATTACTTTTGGATCACCCTAACCAACGAACCAATGTTCTTTTCATAAGCGCCGGTGACAGCAATACGTTTCGAAGCAGCACCAATCGTTAAACATGCACGCGGGTCACTTACTGCCGTTCTCCGCTAGCATCGCGAGCAGCCTCTGTAAAGGTGACCATTCTTAAATTGTCTTAAACTCTTTAGAAAATCTATGGAGATTACTGGCACAGCGTTTCTGAGCAGATGCAAACAATACGAGGCATTGAAAAGGTTGGAGCATTTCGTTATGGACGCATATGACAACTTAAACAGAAGAAATGCATGAATTTGTCAGAAGCATTCCAGTAGACTTGATGAAGTGGTAGAAAGGTCCGATTATTTCTTCCTTGGAAAAAGCATCTTGCTTAAAGGTTTCGTATAGTTATGAAACAGTGGAAGAATAGACATGTCTCTACATGTGAAAGCAAGTGAGCAGACATATTGATTGAGATTCATTTTATTCAATATCATATGCAAAACGCACGTATATTGGCTATAAAAAAAAGAACACAGCCTTACTTGTTGAGAATGAAGTTTAAAGGCAGCTTTCATCCAGATTCTTCATTGTTTTCGTCATTCAGGGGCCTTCTCGTGTCACTGACTTCAAATATAAAGTTGAGAACTCGCAAAAACTCCGGAAAACTCCGTTCCGAAGAGCCCGTGGTGCGGTTTTTCCAAAAGGTGTTTGGATGGGCGTTAGATGGGCTAGCCCACTGGATGAGCTTCGCGATTCCGGAGCGATTTTGTCGCTTTTAAAACAACATTTCGCGTCGGACTTGAGTGTTAGCTGGATAGGGGGGGGGGGGGGGAGGAGGTCCTACTATCGCATGCTGTCTAAACCTCTTGACCCTAAGTTGTTGGTGCAGAGAGTAGTGTCTCAACAAAATTTACATTCGATTTTTGCATGTTATAAAGCTTTCCAACCCTGTTTAATTCCTTATTTAAATCGCATGAACTTTTTGTTTTGCGTTTCAAAGGCTCCGCGAGGCTGATTGAACGAGATGTGCGTCTCTACACTGGAATGCGCTGTAGGTTTAGACGTGAACGAGAAAGGCGTTGTTTGGAAAGGCATCTTATGACAAATAAGAAAAACGATGGGATGCGCGGGCCAAATCGCCCCGGCGGGCCATTTAAAGTAAATGCTTTACTCGATGACTTTTGCTAGGAGCCTTGGTGATAGATGCAATTTGGTAATGCTATTGCATGGAAAATGAGGAATACTTGAAGTTTCACCTTCAACCCCCCCCCCTTTACTCAAAGTATTATATTTCACACCACATTTGCAAGCGAACAAGATCTATTCAATTTTAAATTCTGACCACGTTCAAAGAATAAGATACTTCAAATCTCTGTCTGCAGATAAACGAAATGAGGAAAAAAGAACCCGGGGTATTGACACACAACATTTATTATTTGTCTCGCTCATCACCCTGTACAAGCACAGCTATATTGCTCAAAATTTCTGCCTACCACCTACCATATGTCCCTTGAACTTTTATTCGCTGTGGTGTCGAGCTTGCTGTGTGTTGATCATTTTGAGGGCTAACTTTTCAAGAAAACGAGTTAGGGACAGCATCTCTGCATATGCTACCCTTTGCTGGAAGATAGTCTTCTCCAGAATAGACAATGTCCATGCCTCCTTCCACAACCATTCATCTGCAAGATCTATCTTGGCTAAATGCGCATAGAAAGCTCAGAGCATTTCGGTGCTTATAAGGAAGAGCAAACACCCATATTTTCGTGTACTTAAAGATCCAAACAAATAAATGCATCCGTTGCTAATAATTTAATTCACATTCTTGTTGCATTTTGAATGTTTCAGAAATGCTTCCATTCTTGATGGTAGCCTTTGCTTTTGTGCAATGCACGGCCAGAAGTCTTCCTGGTGAGTTTCAAAGTATTGACGCATCTAGTATTGATGCATTGGTAATTTTGCATTGAGCTTTAGCATTGTGATATTGCTGTAAATATAACTCATCATTTCAATAATAACGCTTTGAACAACTCACCTTTCTCAGAGCCTGTAGATGAGAGATAATGTGACCAACATGATGTCTATTATTCAAAAATCAACGGATTTAAAGTGACATACGATGAAATCTCAAGCGTTGCCTAAATAAGAGCTCTTTCCATTTCTGTGGCCGTATTCATTAACAAATCCTGTGGGTAAGCTTTACCCTTGAGGGTAAGTTTTATCCCAAACAGCATGAAACCCTAATTTACGAAGCACAGGGTGGGCTTAACCTTTGAAGTTAAAGGCAGTGGATCGGCAAAATCCAACAACTCGGGATTTTAACGCGGTGAGTTCCTTATCGCCCAAGTATGAAAACAGTGCAATCCCGGCTGCACAGCATGCCTTCCCTACCGAAAAAAACTGCTCTCAAACTTACATGCGCAAGCCAATCTTGCACGCGCCCGGACGAGTTGGCAATTTCCTTCCCACCATTAGAGGCTGCCCGCCGCAATGCTATAGACATTGGGTCCTACAGCAAGTCAGCGTCATCAGCCTTGCTGCACTCGTCCAATTCCAAAGGGAAGGGCATTAAAAACGCTCATTTTCGCCGTTTTCAAGCTTTCAAAAGTGGATTTTCGGGATCAGCGTATTGAAAAACCCCAGGTAAGCGCAAATGTGACTAGGTTGAGATTTGCCAAGCCACTGCCTTTAAGCCTACTCTGAAGGTGAACCTTACCCCGGAAATGATTAGCCCGTGTTCATCAACGACGCTGAGGGTATTACCCCAGAGATCAACCCGTATTCACGAACGCGGCTCATCAGGGTAAATTTAACCCTAGCCAGAGCAAGGTTAAACCCTGACACTTCCTACAATTATAAAGTGTGATTCTTGATGCACTACTCAGTCTTAACAATACTGTTTAAACAACAAACACATATTTGTTATTAGTATTATCTCGAACTTCTTAAGTCCTCTTTTTGGTTTATTCATATTACAAAAACTAGGACAAAATTTTTTTAGCGTTTTGTTGGTCAGCTATAAATGTATCTCGTCGATAGTTTGATTATGTATCAAGTCATTTACAGAACGAGTGTATTGGTGGACTAATTTGAAAAGTGAGTTTCATGTTACGAAAATTCTTTCAAGTTTTTGAGCTTGATGTTCAGCGTATCAAACCCTTAGTTGGACATGTACCTTAATCAAAACTAAACATTTCACTATATCAACTCGAGCGAATATAATACCGAATCCTTGCAGTATATATCTAATGATAAGGGAGAGTGCAAAAAAAAGGCAGCGGGCGCTGTGCTGGAGCTCGCGGAGACAGCAGACAGCAGTGATGCACTTTCGTCTGGCGGGGGTCCCCCCTCTGCGCCGCCGAGCCCCCTCCGCGCCGCCGGGTGGGTGCTGCTGGAGCTAGCGGAGACAGCAGACAGCAGAGATAAACATTCGTCTGGCCGGGGTCCCCCCTCTGCGCCGCCGAAGCGGGGGTCCCCCCTCCGCGCCGCCCTTTCTTTGAACAGATAAACATCCGTCTGGCGGGTTGTTTATCGCCGCCGTGATCTTTGAATTCCGAGGCCTGTTCTTAGACGATGTTGATCAAATGGCATATAGATGGCATAACCCAAAAGCGAATCACTAAGCAAGCTAATTTTCGTATAGTTCGAAGCGCTTTGACACTTACAAAAGCAACTCAACTTTCATTGTTGGTGCAGGTTAGTTTACAATTTGATTTAGATCATTATTATCATTATATTTGTACAACATAATTTATTATTCAATGGTTTGTAAGCAGCACGTAGGGCAACTCGATCGTGCAGGGAAACAGATTTTATATGCTTGGGGCAGTTCTTATAATTTTTGAACGTTCTTCAAGCGGCACTTAGGGCATGAACTGTCTTTTAGATATAGATAATATTGGTTTGTAAGCAGCACGTAGGGCAACTCGATCGGGCAGGGAAACAGATTTTTGTACGCTTGGGGCAGTTCCTATATTTTTTAAACGGTCTTCAAGCGGCACTTAGGGCATAAATTTTCATTTTAAATAGTTACTATCGGTCTGTAAGCGGCACGTAGGGCAACTCGATCGTGCAGGGAAACAGATTTCTATACGCTTGGGGCAGTTCTTATAACTTTTAAACGGTCAAGCGGCACTTAGGGCATGAACTGCCTTCTAGATATAGATATTATTGGTTTGTAAGCGGCACGTAGGGCAACTCGATCGTGCAGGGAAACAGATTTTAATACGCTTGGGGCAGTTCTTATAACTCTTAAACGGTCTTCAAGCGGCACTTAGGGCATAAATTTTCATTTTAAATAGTTACTATCGGTCTGTAAGCGGCACGTGGGGCAATAGGGCAACTCGATCGTGCAGGGAAACAGATTTTATACGCTTGGGGCAGTTCTTATAACTTTAAAACGGTCTTCAAGCGGCACTTAGGGCATAAACTTTCATTTTAAATAGTTACTATCGGTCTGTAAGCGGTACGTAGGCCAACTCGATCGTGCAGGGAAACAGATTTTTATACGCTTGGGGCAGTTCTTATAATTTTTAAACGTTCTTCAAGCGGCACTTAGGGCATGAACTGTCTTCTAGATACAGATAATATTGGTTTGTAAGCAGCACGTAGGGCAACTCGATCGTGCAGGGAAACAGATTTCAATACGCTTGGGGCAGTTCTTATAATTTTTAAACGTTCTTCAAGCGGCACTTAGGGCATAAATTTTCATTTTAAATAGTTACTATCGGTCTGTAAGCGGCACGTGGGGCAATAGGGCAACTCGATCGTGCAGGGAAACAGATTTTATACGCTTGGGGCAATTCTTATAACTTTCAAACAGTCTTCAAGCGGCACTTAGGGCATAAACTTTCATTTTAAATAGTTATTATCGGTCTGTAAGCGGTACGTAGGCCAACTCGATCGTGCAGGGAAACAGATTTTCATACGCTTGGGGCAGTTCTTATAATTTTTAAACGTTCTTCAAGCGGCACTTAGGGCATAAATTTTCATTTTAAATAGTTACTATCGGTCTGTAAGCGGCACGTGGGGCAATAGGGCAACTCGATCGTGTAGGGAAACAGATTTTATACGCTTGGGGCAATTCTTATAACTTTCAAACAGTCTTCAAGCGGCACTTAGGGCATAAACTTTCATTTTAAATAGTTATTATCGGTCTGTAAGCGGTACGTAGGCCAACTCGATCGTGCAGGGAAACAGATTTCAATACGCTTGGGGCAGTTCTTACAACTCTTAAACGGTCTTCAAGCGGCACTTAGGGCATAAATTTTCATTTTAAATAGTTACTATCGGTCTGTAAGCGGCACGTGGGGCAATAGGGCAACTCGATCGTGCAGGGAAACAGATTTTATACGCTTGGGGCAGTTCTTATAATTTTTAAACGTTCTTCAAGCGGCACTTAGGGCATAAATTTTCATTTTAAATAGTTACTATCGGTCTGTAAGCGGCACGTGGGGCAATAGGGCAACTCGATCGTGCAGGGAAACAGATTTTATACGCTTGGGGCAATTCTTATAACTTTCAAACAGTCTTCAAGCGGCACTTAGGGCATAAACTTTCATTTTAAATAGTTACTATCGGTCTGTAAGCGGTACGTAGGCCAACTCGATCGTGCAGGGAAACAGATTTTTATACGCTTGGGGCAGTTCTTATAATTTTTAAACGTTCTTCAAGCGGCACTTAGGGCATAAACTTTCATTTTAAATAGTTACTATCGGTCTGTAAGCAGCACGTAGGGCAACTCGATCGTGCAGGGAAACAGATTTTTGTACGCTTGGGGCAGGTCTTATAATTTTTGAACGTTCTTCAAGCGGCACTTAGGGCATGAACTGTCTTCTAGATACAGATATTATTGGTTTGTAAGCGGCACGTAGGGCAACTCGATCGTGCAGGGAAACAGATTTCAATACGCTTGGGGCAGTTCTTATAACTCTTAAACGGTCTTCAAGCGGCACTTAGGGCATAAATTTTCATTTTAAATAGTTACTATCGGTCTGTAAGCGGCACGTGGGGCAATAGGGCAACTCGATCGTGCAGGGAAACAGATTTTATACGCTTGGGGCAGTTCTTATAACTTTCAAACAGTCTTCAAGCGGCAATTAGGGCATAAACTTTCATTTTAAATAGTTATTATCGGTCTGTAAGCGGTACGTAGGCCAACTCGATCGTGCAGGGAAACAGATTTTCATACGCTTGGGGCAGTTCTTATAATTTTTAAACGTTCTTCAAGCGGCACTTAGGGCATAAATTTTCATTTTAAATAGTTACTATCGGTCTGTAAGCGGCACGTGGGGCAATAGGGCAACTCGATCGTGCAGGGAAACAGATTTTATACGCTTGGGGCAATTCTTATAACTTTCAAACAGTCTTCAAACGGCACTTAGGGCATAAATTTTCATTTTAAATAGTTATTATCGGTCTGTAAGCGGTACGTAGGCCAACTCGATCGTGCAGGGAAACAGATTTTCATACGCTTGGGGCAGTTCTTATAATTTTTAAACGTTCTTCAAGAGGCACTTAGGGCATAAACTTTCATTTTAAATAGTTACTATCGGTCTGTAAGCGGTACGTAGGCCAACTCGATCGTGCAGGGAAACAGATTTTTATACGCTTGGGGCAGTTCTTATAATTTTTAAACGTTCTTCAAGCGGCACTTAGGGCATGAACTGTCTTCTAGATACAGATAATATTGGTTTGTAAGCAGCACGTAGGGCAACTCGATCGGGCAGGGAAGCGGATTTTTGTACGCTTGGGGCAGTTCTTAAATTTTTTAAACGGTCTTCAAGCGGCACTTAGGGCATGAACTGTCTTCTAGATATAGATATTGTACAACATAATTTATTATTCAATGGTTTGTAAGCAGCACGTAGGGCAACTCGATCGTGCAGGGAAACAGATTTTATACGCTTGGG